ACTTTTATTTTATTACTGTTCTGGGATTAATAATGTTTAATAATTTTAATAATGTGCTTTAAGTCAAGTCAAATTCAGTGATTACATGATATAGCTTTTTTAATACTGTATCCTAAATTGTGGATAATTAAGCTATATATCATATGCTGAAGTACATTTCTGGAGTGTTAAAGATTAAAAGAAAAAATAACAAGAACCGTACAGAACCGAAAACCGTGACCCTAAAACCGTGATACAAACCGAACCGTGGGTTTTGTGAACCGTGCCACCCCTAATAATGGGGGCTTTGATGGGAGATCAGAAAATAATGAAGAGAAAGGAAAAATCTCCAATATCATTATCTCACACCTCTCATTAATATTTTAGGGTACCACTGGTCTGCTTACCAAATTGTGGGTGTAAATAAACACCCATATAGTACTGAAAAACCAGCATCTGGACGAAGGATTATGCCCGTCATCTAAAGCCCTGTGGATTATTGTGCATGCGCCATATAATCGCGATTATATCGTGATGAGATATCATGCAGCCCTAATCTTAAATAGCGACTATATTTGTTCATGATTGTCTATGATTTGTACTTTAGTAGCGGAGTTATTACTGTGTATTTGTGTCTCCGCAAGTGGGGCTGTCACGGTCGCGTCGCAATGTAATCACATTATATGGAGCATGCGCAATAATCACCAGCAGTAGAACTTTAGATGGCAGGTGAAACATTTGTCTGGATGCTGGCTTTTCAGTACTATACAAATGTTTATTTACGCCCACAATTTAGTAAGCAGATTAATAGTGTGCCTAAAATTTCAATGAGATGCATATTATGATGCCCAAAAGTCAGTAGTCTGTATATATTCAGCATATCCTTACGTTTATTAAATTCAGTTAGCGGAGCATGCCGCATGCTACCTTTTTAGTAAATCATGGAATCGATAAGCACTGAAGTGACAGTGAAGAAAGAGGCAGCTCAGCAACGACATCATCTTTTAAAAGAGGAGATATTGTGGATAAACAAGGTAAAAAGATGATGTGGTGGTACTTTTTGCATTTTAAAGTCCAACACTGTTATTAAACATAAGGATACGCCAAATTAATACAGACCACTAACTTTTGGGTGTCACGATACATATCTCATTAATATTTTAGGCACACTATTAGTCTGCTTACCAGGTTGAGGGTGTAAATGTCCATATTGAACTGAAAAGCCAGCTTCTGGACAAATGTTTCACCTGTCATTATATGGTGCATGCGCTATATAATCGCAATTAAATCTCGACGTGATTGCAACAGCCCTACCTTCAAACCAAAAAAGAAAAGTGTTGCTTTTTTTCTATAAATTGTGTTTATTGCTATAAAATTGTGGCTTGTTCTAATATATATATTTTTTAATATAGTACAGGCTTCCCCAAAGAACTGGCCAGCATGGATTGAGTGAGATTGCCTCCTGAAGACTGGCATATATGTGAAGGTGCCATTTACCTTCAGATATGGAATGTGGTTCCTACGTGGGAATTATGGGAAGAGATCTGATGCACCTGTGTGACTGACACGTATGCCGGACTGATTCCTGCAACATGAATCCGGGAAGTCAACACCAAGATGTTTTCATTTCGTTTGTGGAGAGCGGCTGGAAGAAGCACAGCAAAGCACCTCCCCATTCACTGGAACTGAAGTTTAAAACTTCAGACAAACATTACTGTGACAAATGTCGCTTTTCATCTAGAGATGGTGTGCAGTTCCAGAAGCATATGTCCCAACACGCAGAAATGACTTTTTCCTGTTCTTACTGCAGCCACGTTTCCTACACGAAAGGTGAATCTCAGCGTCATCTCGTCCAGCACACGGGCATCTTTCCCTTTAAGTGCCAATTCTGTGAGTATGGAGCGATAAGGAATGACTACATAGTTAAACATACGGAGAGGGTTCACAGCATCATGGTAGAAAGGGCACGCAAAGTGAAAAGGAAACAATTCACTGTAAAAAATGGTCCTCGGGTCCCATCAGCATTGCACTCTTCTGTGACACGTACGCCGGGGACCACAGTGGCTAGTGTGCCACCTACTGGTACAGATGGTAATTCTAATAAGGTGATTACTAAGGAAAAGCTGGACAGTGCTAACAGTTTAGCTAAAGTACAGGTGGAGCTCTTAGCACCTCTGAATGAACCCATTCAACCAGACCGGCCTCTCACTGTCACTTACCCTCCAGAGCTGTCCATCCCACCTGGTTGCTTTCTTGAACTTGTGGAAGTGAAAACTGTGAATGGGACTAAGGAACTGGAGCTTAAGTTAGTCTCACAGCAGTCTATCGAAGGAGAAAGACCAGAGAAAAGTCTGGCAGGTCGAACTGGAGAATGTATGGGAGAAAATGAAAATGTTAATATGGCTAAAGCATCCTACAACTGCAATCTTATTTCGCAGTGTGAGAAAACCGTGGTCTCCAGCCCATCTGTGTCAAAACAGGACATGCAGCAGCATAGCAACTTCTCACTGATTAAGAACTTATTAGCTGCACCACCTGCTGGTGACCTGAAATTGAGGCAAAACTCAAAGGAGACACTAATGACATTGAAAGAGGAGCCTGAAGAATGCGAAATTGAGCTTGGAGACAAAATTCAGCTTGGAGCCCCAACCAACAAAGGCCAAATGGTAATGGGTGAAAGGCAAGAACAGGGCAAGAAGCTGCTTATCAATCTCAAGGACTCTTTTGTGGCGTCACAGACTAGAGTTACTCCTGAGTGTGTCAGCCAGCAAGAGTCCAGTTCTAAAAGACCCTTAGAGGTATCTCTGGTCAAAGAACTTGTTTCTTCTTCATGTGAGAAACACACAAAGACTGGTTCCGCACAGATCCAAACAGCGAACAGTAACAGCTGTCCCTTAAAGGCTCCGACCATTTTGAAATGTGAAAATTGTCCCGTTGATTCAATGCCTGTTATTAGGCCCAGTGCTGAGACGCCTGATGGAGATGTGCATGCTGGTGACCTGCAATCTGGGGAATTGCCCATTATTTCATCAGTGTTTTCCCTGCACCGGGGGCCCAAGGATATTCCTGCATGTGTTGGCTGGGAAGCCACCAGGAAACGACAGCTTCAGTCGGTTCCAGTGCCACCTTCTTTGGAAGGCCAGAGTGCTGCTGGGACTGAGCCCCCTGCTGTACAAGAACCAGGGATTACAGTGACTTCAAGTGCCAGCACAGTGTTAGTTCCTAGTTTTAGTGTTAGTACCAGTACTAGCAGCGCACAAGAATGTACTAAATATGATCCTGAAATAGACTCCCAAAAAAACGGAACTCCTGAGATTTCACAAATCCCCCTGCCAGAAAATCAGTCATCGAGCCAAAAGGTTGCAGTGTTGGAACAGAGCAAAAACCATCTTAACAAAATTCCTGCAGATATAACTGCTATAGTCAATAGCCCTGAAAACCAAAAAAGTGCTGAAGGCTCTCAGCCTACGTTTATTCCCGAGGGCACCATGCTTAAAATCTCAAGCTGCCTGTCGAAGTCCTCAGAGCATCAGAGCTCTCATGCCAGAGCTGCTGAGAATTCTGTCTTCAGTGAGAACTGGGTGCCCAGGACAGTCCTTTCCAGTGACGCCAGCAAGCACAACATTTCCAGTACAAATATGTCCGCTCCGTGCAAAGGGCTCAAGCTCTCATTGAAGCGGAGGAGATCTGGTGCGGAGAACGAGGGAATGGATGGACACTGGGTTCAGCAGGATACACAGTATGGGGAAGAGCAGGGCCACTCGTATAAACAGTCCAAAGAAAAAAAGAAGAGTAAGAAAGAGAAGAAGTCTTCAAAATTGAAGGTCTTGTTGGAAAAGTCTGGGACTAGCGAAGGGGACCTGAGCAGACAGTGGTTAATTCCACTCAAAGAGGATCAGCTAGTTACATCCCCAGCCCCAAATCAACCAGTTGTCATTCTAAACCACCCCAGACCCCGTGCGTCGACCGTCCACCCAAGGGTGATCCCCAAGCATGTGTGGAACACCGATCGAGATGTGCCTTTTGATACAGTAGAGAGCTTGTTAAAAATGAAGCTAAAGAAAGTGAATCGAAATAAATACCAGGTGGTGGGATTTGTTTATAGGGACCCGACAAGGATGATAATATGCTAGCATTGTGAAACTGACTGGTATAGCTATAACTGCTGGAATGTTAACGCTACTAACACTAAAACTGTGTTAAGTCATTTAAAAAAAAAAGTGAGCTACTGTATTAACTAGGGATGCTCATTTCGATTAATTTTCCCAACCGACAACCGCCGTTCGTTAACCGAACATTAACCGTTAACTGATTAGATTAGAATATTAAATTCCTCTGGGGTCGGCGGTCCCGCCGGCGGGATCTGACAGAAATTTCGCCAAACCATTTAAATAACTCTGCGAGGTTTTATCATATACACATTTAAAAAACACCTTCAGAAACCTTGGACGGTCTACTTTTCAAATATATATATAGGTAGAAACTAAATATATTTTTATAGCTTCGTGATACGAATAGAAAGAACAAGAGTGACTGACTTAAGCGTCTGCGTCTCGAAGCAGCTCTGATCGCCTTCCCACTTGCAAATTGCGCTATTCGCATGATAACAACATGATAATCCGACAGTTAGTATTGGATAAAGAAATATGTGAATACGCCCATTGTAACCGAAATAAAACAAGAGCACATGTCTGGGTAGTGTTTACACCGATCGGCTACAATATAGCACACGGATACGTCTCTGCCGCTGAAGCTTTGCGCCAATGTTTCCATTTTCAGCAGCAAAGCTCATACCTGTGTTCATGGCTCAGTGGGCTAAGCCTGTGTGCCTGTAATCACAGTCGCCGATTCAAACCCAGTGTATTTAGAACGTGAAAAGCGATCTTCAGCTGAGATGCCACAAAACTTCATACTACTACTAATAATTAAAATATATATAAAAACATTTTAAACCGTTTAACTGATAGTAATATTCGGTCAAAATTAATTATTTCGGTTAACGGTTAAACGGTCAAAAGGAGCATCCCTAGTATTAACATAAATCATACTTATGGGACTAGTAGCTTTGAAAGGCGAGTTTCTGATCAGCTCAGTATTGTTTATGAGGGTGTTGTCATGTAGAGCTCATGACAGCTGGGTGTGTTTGCATGAACAAAGTGGCCCTACATGTCATCCTGTTTGCATTTTACCAGTGTAAACAGTCAGTGGTTTAGTTTATTTTGTAACTGTGGTATCTGATCTTTGCTCTATGATCATTGCATGTTTCATATGATGCTGTTTTCATATTGCATTGTATTTGAGCTGTTTTCAGCTCTTCTGTGGTTGTGTAAAGCGGGAGGTTTTGATTGGTATAAAGAGTTTGGAAAGATGGTGCTTAATCTCCCTATATAGAAGGCACCAGAACTGAAAATGACTGTCTTTATGGCCCTGTGTTTTAAAAGATGAATATGATGAACCCAATATATAGTCTGTGTATATTTTTGTCCTATGAGGGCCTTTGTATATACCAGCCAAACTTCATCAAATAATAATCAGTCTCCCCATATGCACCATAAAATATTTAATTCCCATTTTTAGTTTGAGTTATGGTATTCAGCTGCTGTGGAAATGTGGGTTTCATCTTAAAATATTTCAACCGTGTTTTAATCAAGTGGCAGAAAAATCTTTTTATGGCCGAGTATTTCACTTTTTGTAGCCTGATCATGCAGTTTTATAAAACCGGCATCAATCATGCTACATGCAGCCGGTTTCCAAACCAGAATTCATTAGATTGTGGATTCTGGATTGAAAGCTGTTCTGAGTTGTTTAGTGCCTGGGGGGGGGGTGACTTTCATGAGAACTGTTAAACAACTGCTGGTATTTTGTATGTATGTGTATATGTTTAGACACAAGTATCTTGGTTTAAAATGCCACAGAGATTCCCTTTAAGTGCTGAGCACTGATGTTGCTCGCTGGTCTTTGTAACGATGGACTCGTCTGGCCCGGGCACCTTGACGACTAACTACTGACAGGAGGAGGCCTCCTTTAAACACCACCACCGGAGAGACACCTTGTTTCACAACCTGCTGTGCAACTGAGGGTCTGGGGCTGATCTCACCTGCTGTGGCTGCCCATGAGGGTCAGAGCTAGCTTCTCTATCCCTTTGATAAAGGCCAGATTGGGTGTTTACCAAATATGGGGCTTTCAAATAAAATGACAGTGCTCAGCCAAGGGTGTGGTACACGAGCCAATTCTGCGCCCTGTGTAGGACCCGAGTATTTAGAGCGCATATATCCTATTGGGTTAAAGAGAGGCTCCTGAAGATGGGCGCTGATCCAGAATTGTAATAATGCAGTATAATGTCTTAAGTTTTCAGTCTTGTCTTGTTCCATTTTGAGTTTGCTGGTTTACTTTCTAATCAGTTGCTCTTATGTCTGCAGATAAACATTTCAGCCTGTGCATATTTAAATTTTGCAGTTATGTTAATTTGTCAAGTTTTTCTTTCCCATGAATAAATACATTTTTTTTTTTTTAATCCACTGTGTTCAGTGTTTGGCTATTTTATTGTTAAAATATTTTAAAAAGTCCTTTATGTAACATTGAAATAACATGTTTTTTTTGTACAGAAATACTTTTTATTAACACTGCAAATGATGTAAAATTAAAATATTAATAAGAGCTATATATACATCCACATTGACCATGCTTGTAAACTTTATTTTTTGGTGGCTTTGTGTAAGTTAAAACGTGGCTTTTTTTTTTACTTAGAAAAGCTTAATGATTCTCAATTAGGTATTAATGAAATGACTGTGAGATGTGATTTTACAAATCTAAACATACACATACACCCTGTTCAGTCTGGAGGGTGCTGAATTACCAAAATATCACAAATTATTTTCAAAATTACAGTGAAAAGTATGGTGTAGTGGGGAATGTGATGTCTGGCAAGGCATTTTAATCTAGTAGCTGAATCATTTCTTCTCTTGTCAGAGGGCGAGTTAACACGCATCTCCTCTGGTGGTCTGACAGATCCTTCCCATTGATGAGGTGTATGGGAAATATCATGTGGAATTTAATGATATCGTCTATGGAGTCAAACATCTGTTGAGAAGCGTAAAGAAGTGTAAGGCTGTGGGGAAAGCACTGGCTTTTAGGTTCTGTGTAGCTTTTTAAATACAAAACATCAGCACTGTGGAGTTCACTCTTGGTCCAAGATTAATGCCCTACTAAAGGCTTTTTAAAATTTTCTATGACAGGATTTGGTGGTGTCATGCAATAAATGCACTCAAAGTTGAACTTACGTCATTCATTCTTAACCCCGTCCCGAGGGCGAACTTCTGGGTGCTCTTTATGTACCGGATTTTTATGTTGTACACCCTGTTGTCCTGCATCACTGCCAGGACAAAGGGCTCCTCTTCTGTGCTTCTGGAGTGGTCTCGCACCACGAAGACCCCGTTCTGTTAGCACAACACACCGGGTACACCATTAAGATGACTTCGCATTTTCTGTTGCGGAAGCTCTGAAAAATAGCCTCATAGACCTTTCTGGTCACAGCGGCATTAGCAAAGGCTAATATGGTCATGCTGTATTAGCCTTTGCTGATGCTAGATATAGCATTGTTAGCGTTTCATATGTTATTTGTTTAGCAGATGCTTTGACGGCTTCTGCCTCTGTTTCTTTTTACACATGTACATTATATAAAACTGAGGCCTGTTAGCTGTGGAGTTTCTGCATGTGCCGCATAATTGTACGAGGCGGGCTACCTGATTGGCCAGGTGCAGGGCGTTCTCTGTCTTGGCCCGCTGGCAGGAACCAATGTACCAGTTCTGTTCGCTGCCCATCTGGAAGCAGAAGGCCGTTCAGCTGGTATACAACAGTACTGACACTTCTCAACCCAAATGAATCATGAGTAACACTTTGCTTGAAGCAGTCTACATAAGGGTTGACATGTAACCATCATAAGAATGACATGACGCATGTCATGCACATTAATGACACATTATTGACGTTTATGACTGTTGTCATAAACATCACTGTTGTCATAATGTGTCATTTGGTTTTTGGAACTGAATGACACATTATGACAACAGTCATAAACATCAGTAATGTGTCATTAATGTGCATGACATGTATCATGTCATTCTTATGACGGTTACATGTCACCCTTATGTAGACTGCTTCAAGCAAAGTGTTGCCGAATCATGCAATATACACTCCAACACAAGTCCAAACGTAAAAATGCACTACACGTTATACAGATTGCAACCTGGGGCAATGGCAGTTCACCTAAATTCATTGTGTAATTCCCTTATTCTGTCATTATATCATTAACTGCGTTTCCTGTCCATAACGTAATAGTGTGAATGCAAGCCCCTCTCACTCAGAGTGAAGTGGCAGGCCGAATGCCTTGGCACCCAGGTGGCAGCGGCGTCTGGCTGGACGACAGCTAGGGGGTGCGGCATCACCGCCGGCAACCACAAACCTGTGCAGGCCTGCTGCAGGGAACCCGTCGGTGCACGTCGATGTCATCCTGTACACGCATCCATTGGTGGGATTCCTGCATCCTATGGGGTGCCCCCTTCCCTGCAAGACACATGACACACATGATACGACACAGCTCTAGCTGCTTGGGGAACTACACTGCCAAATGAACTGGTGATTAACATTAAAATCACCTTTCAAGTGTCTTTCATTCGGCCTAGGAAACCTAAATGGAGAGAAACATAGATCACGACATGACAGAAAAAATGGCTGTCTGTCCATGTGCATGGGAGAAACCTCACATGAACACACAGATGTGAAAACGTGGGTATAGCAAGAGACAGGCACCGCACCTTGGATTGGCATCTGGGAACTCCAGATCCTGAGAGAATCTTGGGGGTGTGAGGGGCGGCCCTGTTCCGGCACCGCATTGCCGTGGAAGCTCTGTAATTGGTAGGTCTCTACATCAGTCAGCTGCACCTATCACAGCCTTAGAGGATTTGGTCATAAAAGCCAATCACGGAAAAATTAACAGGACCTTAAACTTATATTTACATATACATGATATTTACAGTCTTAAGTCATCAAAGACAGTGTCTATAGTTATTTATCTGGGGGCTAAATTGTATATTTGCTCAAAAAAAACAAAATTAGAATATATGCAAATGAACAGTAAGTTCATTTTGATAGTTTTTTTGATGGTTGCTGCAAATATTGGGGTGATTTTAGGTTTTGAAATGATTAAGGTTACACTTTGACAGATATTGATACATAAAGTCATAGTCTTACACCAACATACAGATAACAAATCATTTTCCTTTCCATCTTAAGACTTGCACAGCACTGTATATTTACACTTTCGCAGCCTCGCTGATGGTGACTGCCTGCGGGGATTAATTATTCCTGTGTGAGGCCTTTGCACACTGTCATGGGACACTAGCTACAGCTCAGAATGCATCGCTGTGAGTGGGCATCAGTACACTCACCCACTGACTGCCTGTTCTTCATAGCCTGAAAGGACAATTAAGCAATGCTAGTAAAGTGATTCATCCTCACACACAAAGTACCATGATCAGGGGTATACCTAGGAATCCTGGGCCCCCTGACAAAATGTCACCTTGGGCATCCTCATCCAATTTTATATATTTAAAGGCCCCTGTCAAGGGCTGGGCCCCCTGAATCTGCCAGGGTATCCCTGCCCCTCGTGTGGCCCCTGTCAAGCGCTGGGCCCCCTGAATCTGCCA